CAGCAGGAAGCTAGGATGGACACAGAAAGAGAAGAGCACATCTGGACAAAGCAGCACAAAATAAGTAATAAAGAAAAACACCAGAAAAAAAAAAGATAAAACGTCGTACTCAAGATGACAAAACCACATGCTTTCCTGATGCTGCTTTTCTGCTTTCTAACTGCCGCAGCCACCAAAAATGTGTTTATCTCAGATAGAAATTCCACTAAAGTAGAAATTTTGCCCTTAATAAGGTTGACAGCTGTGTGATTGGTCCTAGTTTTAAGATAAAGGTAGTGTGTGGTTCAGTAGGCATCAACAAAAAGAATTCTCCGCAACCCTCGGCAAGCATTTAGTCGAGTTGGACACTATTTACTTTGCAGTTATCACAAAGCATTGAAAGAAGACATGTGATAGTTTCACAAGCCTGATACTATGAACTGGCTTGTGCAGCTTGCAGTGATAAGAAAAAAACTTTTAACAAGTATTATCAGAAGGAAATAAATTCTATATTTTGTTGTGAGAGGACAATGAAAAACCTCAGTGTACGTTTAACACCACATCACTTTCTACTGGTTTCAGATCACTTGAAGTACACTACAATACCACTACATTAGGGCTAGCCTGTGACAACTGAGAAAGTCTCAGATAACCATATATTCTGCTCTTCTTTTAGTGGAAGCTTCCCAGAATTTAATCACCACCTCAAACTTTCAAGATGAGTCCACACTTCTCTCTTATACAATACTTCCTCAGAACAGAATTTAGCTAGAGAAGATGATCCACAAGAAATGTCCATGTCAATGAATTTCTCTATCACCCGACACAGGGATCTTGAAGGTGTTGAAAATGTTCCATGTCAGAAGTGGGTTTCATGTCACTGAACATTGTCGGTGGGAACACGGAGCCAAGGAAGAAGTGGCAATCATCTCTGCCCTTGGAAAGTCCTGCAGTAAACTCTGCATGTAGAATTACCACTTCTTCCTCATCCCCACAGCCGAGATCAGCAGATGAAGGGCTGCAAAAGAGCCAACCCAACCTGCCTGCCCCGCAAATAACTCTTATCAATGTACTCAGGAGAACGCAGTTTGATTTCCTGAAGGCCATTATATGCAGCTCATACAAAAATAAGTGGAATAAAGAGAACAAAGCTGGTTCTCTTCACCTGCCGCTCCCCTCCCATCATCACAGTTACTCCCAGCCCTCATTCAATTAGAAATTCTCACACGCTATCAAGGGCTTTCAAGTCCTCAGGAAAGAAAATAATACGAATAACTATAACATCTGAAACCACTGACACAAAAGTACCGTGACTCCTTAAAATTACTTGCTTTCTGTGAACAGGTATTTCTTTGATGTTTAAATGAATCTTTTAAAATTCCTACCTCCTGCCTTCACATTCCTAATACAACAGCACTACATCAGGCGAAAAAGTCAGTATACACAGACAAAAATTGAAATGCAATACAGCAATGCTGGTATCTGATCAGATGCACCTTCCAACCTAGATTCTTCTGATTCTGTATTACCAGGGGCATCTACTGAGCAAAGAGTCCATATTAAATTTTAAAAAGCTGAACACGATTGTCCCTTTCCCAAACACAAGTCAGCACCATTTTGAGATCGTTATGACATAACTGCATGGGTTAATTGACTCATTGAACTCATCACAGCTGAACTGATAGATTCATAGACAAATTGATTATGCGTGAAGAATTTCAGAATTTTACCTCAAACCCCTTCAGTACAGTTGTTCAATAAACTACCAAGTACCTGTGAAATAATTTTAACGGAGTTTGTAACCGATGGCTTGGTAAATAATTTTCTTTTATAAATAAGCTGATACTTTCTGGCACACCTCCAAAGAAGTTTTTATGAAACTATTTGATAAACCTCAACATGCGAAGCCAGTTAAATATTTTGAGTTAATTAAAAGCAACCAAAGGAGTTGAGGTTTCACACGATGCATCAACAACCATCTATTTCTACTGAAGTAACAATTATTTTTTTTTTTTAGACTAAGGTTTCCATCAGTTTCTGTAAAGCAGAACTAAGCCATCTGCCCTGCAGATGAATGAGAACAAACACAAGCAAAAAACCACAGGGCCAAGAATACAGTGGGGTCATTCTTTTTTTTCCAACCACTGCATCAAGCGCCCGCGACACTATCGCACACTGCTGTGACAGCTAACACTATCTAATTTTAACTAGCACTCATTTACCACGTAGACAGAAGTGTTTCTTCCCCTTC